CAATTGCTCACCACCCACTGACCGATACCCAGACAGTTCCCTCTCGGTCAGTGTTGATGCACACTGAGCTGAGGGGAAGTCTGAAGGTTTTGTTGTTGTTCTTGTGTCATGCCTATACATGACCCTGCAGGGGATAAGAATCTGCTGTGGGTTCTAAACTGGCTTTAAAACAGTGCAATTGGTGAACTGCCTAGTTTTAAAATTTGCATCCATTTGTTCAATTCCAACATTATCACCACCGTCATAGGTAGTACTAGTGTCACAGTTGCTGGAGCAGAAAATGTCATTCTTTGCTGTAGTCCTGACCACATTCATGTATTTTTGGACTTTTCTGCTTGAGTGGGAAAGTAACTTTGAGATGCTCAATTTCTGCTATACTAAAGGATTATGCAGTGTATAAACCTTGGTTATAACTGTGTTGTTACATTTTGTTAGCATTGCAGATTGTTTAGCTATTGAGGATTCATGTACCTCTGTTTACTATGGAAACTAGTTGACTAAAGATCACTCTTAGAAAGCAGGAGACCAGTCCACCCATACGTTGACATGGCAGTTCCAGAGAGATATAATTCCTCATGTGGCAGAGTTCTCACCAGGCAAAGTTAAGAAAACAATTCAGTTTAGTTTTTTTCTGTCAAAGTAAGGGGTTAGTTATTTGACTGCAAATGGGAAACACGGTTACAAAAAGATAAAATGTATTTTCAATGTGCACCTAGTTTTCAGAGCTACTTTGTGGGAGAGTTTTTGAAAACATCAAGAAAATGCACACCTGAATGTGACTTTTGAGACTCAACCTTTTGTTTTGCTCTTAAATCTCTCTATATATATATCTGTCACTCTTCTCTCAGAAGCAGTTTTTGAGTATATATGAATTTCCAGAACTTAATCTTCTTTCTCCTTACAATATGGTAATTAAAAATGCAAATGTTGTTCCTGTTCAGGGGAAGAATTCAACTTCACTGTCTGAATGTCTGACTGTTCTCCATTTGAGGAAGCACAGTTTCATATTTGATGCAAATTCATTTCAGAGGTGTCTGTCTTTCCGTTCTATTTAAGGGTCTTGCCCAGGGTTGGCATTTCCATTGTGTTCACTATTGCTGATGTTTTTCCAGAACAGGCAAGCATTAGCTTGCAGAACTCTGTAATTCTGTTTCTTAGAAATAGTGACCAATCAGTTTGTTAATTGGTAATGTTAGGTTAATGGTTGGACTGGATGATCTTAAAGGTCTTTTCCAACCTAAACGATTCTATGATTCTATGATTAATACTAGAAAATCAGCTCCTCTCCAGCAATTTAGAAAGACTAAGCCTGATGCATAAGTATAATGACTATGATATCTGAGAATGGAGTGCTAAAGCTATATATTCCTGCCACACCAGCCGGGTTAGCTCAGTTGGTTAGAACACGGCGCTAATAACGCCAAGTTCACAGGTTCAATCCCTGCTTACTGCAGGGGGGTTGGGCTTGATGATCTCTCAAGGTCCCTTCCAACCCAAAGCATTCTATGATTCTACGATTCTATGATATGTGTCTCTGTTTTGGAGAATTCTGTCCTATTTTAGTACTGAGAACTTCCAGACAATATTGTTAGTTCCTGTAGAAATGCAAGACAGTGCCACTTTCCTGGTATGCATCAGGCATTGCAGAGTAAGCCTTTGCTCCTAGTGGTTCATTGACAATTGTATTTCTTTCACTGGACTCATGTTTTCTCTCAGCCGATTGCTGTATAAAATAAATCTTTCACTAGTGTGCCTTGGGAATGTTCCAGTGTTCTCTGAAATCCTTACTAATACACATTATTACACTTTATCTTTTTCTCTAGATCCTTCAAAAACCAACTCCAGAACTAAAGCATCAGTTGGCCTCTCTCTCCAAGCGGGTTGCTGGTGCTGTTACAGAGCTCATCCAATCAGCAGAAGCAATGAAAGGTGAGTTGGGCAGCCTGGCTACCAGTACAGTGTGCTTTTTACTCCAGAGATGATGATCTGTCATTTTTGTAGTTTAAAACAAAACTAAAACCTAACAAAAATCCTTTTACTATGTTCTAGGTGTCTTGGTACCACCTACTTCCATTCTTTTAATTTCTCTGCTGGTATTCACTTGTTCACAGTGTTGGTAAACATGACCTATTTGACCCTCCAGTTGACCCTCTCCCACTTCATATGATCAGTCATAAGTCATCTGTAAATCATGTGGCCTTTGAAGATGGAACCATCAAGCAGAGCACTCAAGAGCCACAGTAGCAGAAAACAAAATACAGTATCACTCCTCTTGAACTGGTGGCTGAATTGTAATGAGATGGCTGGTTCCTTTCCTTACACTCATGTTTGTTCAGTCAAAATAAGTCTTTTGCTTTGCAGTGATAGTTGCTTTCCGACTTCAAATAAAAGGGGATAGCATCATCTTACTGAATTAATAGCTCTAGCAATTATGTCAATTTTAGATCTATGGTGCTTACAGTCCTCCGTCTGGGTCCTGCCCTGACAAAGCGTGTTAATGCAACAATGACACTTCAGAAAATTGTGGTCTGATTTCCTGAACTCTTAGAATTGAACAACTTGTGGACAAATATAAATCCAAAACTCAAATAAGCAATGAATTCCATTGCTTAACAGAAGTTCACTGTTCTTATAACAGACGAGTGATATTTTTCTCAGATACTGACTTCCTTAGTAAAATTTTTATCCAGTGATGCATGCGAACTCTTAGGATGACAGTTCTAACATTCTACCTTTTAAATGAGATGGATACATATTAAGGGTGGTGTTATTAAATATTAGACCACTACTGCTGAAGCACATCTACTACCAGATTTACTGGGAACTTTAGTCTAAAGAAATCTTCACAGCCATCAGAAAGGCCTATGAGCATTCTAATCTCATAGGTAACAGAATGCTACAATGAAATATTTTGAGTAAAGCATTGTAATAACTTTTTTTTAATTCTGCCCCCGCCCCCAACAAAGGGTTCTAGTAAACTCGTATTTGTTCACTCATTCTTTCCTAAGCTAGGCCAGAGAACACCGTACTCATTTTTCTGATATTCTGTGTAATATACACTGCAGGTTTTCCTCAGTTATTTCCTGCTTTTATCAGTACTCATTCCTTGGAAAAGAATCCTGACTAAACACTTTTCATATATGGGAATCCCTTATTATTTTCTTACGGGCTTTTTTCTTCTATGTCTTAATATAGTTACACTATTTCATATAACAGTGATCTACATTATGCTTTTGCCCTGATCAGGTAAATTTATTGAATTCTTCAGCCTTTTCTGCATTCTTTCTTATGTTTCAAAATTTCCGTTTTCATTTGCCAACAAGCCAAGCTAATATCAGAATTTTTCTATTCCATAAATGTTTTTTAAAAATCTTTTTATTGTCCTCATCTTTGGAGACATTTATTCATTTCCAGTCGTTTTTTCATTTTAATTCATATATTCATATTCATTAAAATAAACATTCAGATTTTAGGGGGGGGGTGTCACTTACTGCCTGTAGGGGATTTTTTTTTTATTCACTTTAGAAGCTTTTTTGTGGAAAGTGAAATGTTTTTTAACCGTTCCTAATTTTCATTTATAGATACATGATAAAATTCTGTCTCCTAACCAATTTAGCATATAAATGTTTTCACCTCTGTAAAATGCCTTTTTTTGAAGAGGAACTGCTACATATTAGAAGTTTGGTTTTGACTGTTTATACATGCTGCCTGTATCAAAAATGTTTTTTTCTCTGCTTATCTGCCAATATTAGGGTTTAATATAGAATTCCTTCATCTTGTACATGATTTGAGCTGAGAAATTGTATTTGGTAACGTTTTGATATTTGATATAAAATACATATTCCCGTACTATATAGGGATTAGCAGCATGAAACGTAGCTCACTAGGATTACAGTACCATGTACTTCAGCTTTCTCCCAGCACATCCTAAGTAGGAGCCAGTCTTTTTGTATTCTCCTGTGATTTGGTCATCCACAGCAGAAACTGCCTCATTCTTTAGCTGGTGCAATGTTGATCTATAAGCATTCAAGGTTATTTCCTTTGATGTTTGATGAATCAGACGTGGGTTGTGCTATTCGTGATTGAAAGTGCCAGTATCATTCTCCCCAGTTGCTCTTCCTTAATAACGATTAATGTTTCAGTTGACATTTTAATATTAGATTCACCCAAACTTTCTGATCCAGTTTCAATAAGTTTAACAAGGCCTTAAGAGATTTGTTTTTTCCTTTGTTTTTTTCATTCTAGCTTAGCCTTCCTTTGCCTGGTGTACACTGCTTCCCATCCTTTTCTGTTTCCATCTGTGACACCACTTCCTCCCCTTGCCTTTAGTAGTTACGAACGTAAAAGTTTTCTTTCTGGTTTCCTTTTCTCTCTCCATCTGATTTTCCTTCTGGCTGTTTCATTGCTTCCCTCAATCCAGAACGTGGATGCTTCCAGAATCTTGTCATCCAGAGAATAATGTTATGAAACTGAAAATAATAATGCACTGAGAACTTCCAAAATCTGAGGTCATCTCCAGCCAAGTATTTATTTTGTGGACCTACAAAATGAGAAATGCCAAAAACTCAACCAAAAAAAAAAGTTGGCCTTTGGATATGTTACAGAAACTGCTTTGGCCTTCTGTACATTGCTGTTAGAAACACATTGCCAAAAGCATGCTTTCTTCAGTTAATGCTAGCTTCATCTCTGACCACTGCCAAAAAAGAGACTCTGAAAAGTGTGCTGTGGATGATTATCTGATGTTTATAACATCTCCTCTTTACCATTCTGTCAGACTTCTTAATGTACCTTACAACTTGGTCAAGTTAGAAACCATCTTAGTAAGAGTTCTGATAAATGAAAGTTGAGTGACAGCTAGTTTTGTTTCCAGTATCGACAGTAGACTTTTTTGAAGCTGCTTTGCTTACACAGTTCTTAATCAAGTCACTTCCATTACAGAAGAATCCTGCTAAATGCTTTTTTTCACTTTGAGTTACATTTTGCTCTCGGTGGCATAAACTACAGTGTTTCTATGCCATTATGGTACTAAAATCAGCTTTCTACAATGTGCATTCTGTATTTGACACTTGAAGTATGATTGTAAATCACCCTGTTTGAATGGCAGCTCACAGTGGCACTGAAGTTATTGTCTTCGTCTCCATTAATTTCAGGGACAGAGTGGGTGGATCCAGAAGACCCAACAGTCATTGCAGAGACAGAGCTACTAGGAGCTGCAGCATCAATTGAGGCTGCAGCAAAGAAGTTAGAGCAGCTGAAACCAAGAGCCAAGCCAAAGGTGAGTGTCCATCCCCATTGTTTCTTTGACGTTAATAAAGCAGAAGATGCATATAGCCCATATATTGGTGTATACTTTGTTACTGTCCACGATAATGGTATAAACAATCAAACCTTGCATCAGTCTCAGTGGCAGTAGACACTGCCCTGGATGGGACTTACCCCTGAAGGAAGAGGGTAAAAAGATGCTTTTCAGGGAGTTAGTTAAGCACCAGCCATGAGCAAGCAAAGTAAGAAAAGACAAATGTTAGAAATGCTTTTGAGAGTTACAGTATCATTACTGTTGACGATTTACTTCTCTGTTTCCAAACACATTTTACTGATGTGAAAAGTCATTCTCACTTGCTTTCCTTTGAGACCCTTTGTTCTCATCTGAATGTGTGTAGTATAGCAGGAGAAAGCAGCAGCAACACAGAAGGGATTCAGCGGAATGCAAAAGACCTTCAGGATTTTCTAAGATTAAAACCACAGCATTTTATGCCATGCTAAAAGAGTAGCTGCTTCAGTATCAAATCAGATATGTGGTATGACCATTTCTATTTAATTTTCCTGAAGGAAAATAAATTACAGTTCATTATGAAAGCAAGTAGTGTTGCATGTTGCCAGGTCATTTCAAACATGTCTCTGAATAGATTATATAAAATTAAGCCAACTATTTTCATGCGTGATACAGAGGGAATATATGAAAGTGCTGTTACTTATGGTTGTGTGCATAGCTCACAAGACTGGATCACAGACAGTTGCTACCTTTTGCCTAGTGTGGAATAACAGGCAGGTTTTAGAAGAAATTACCATGTTGTCTAGAATTGCATCTCTTTAAAATAAAAATCATATTTTGGCTGTGTAATTGACTTCAGGAAAGGACTATGTATCTATTTCCCTGTTTATGCTGCTTTGTAGGTGCAAAACTGTTTTCTAAGTAAAGCTAATGAGAAGTCTTTCTGAAAAGCAGGGCCTCAAGAACATTCAGTGTTGGATGATTGTTTTCAGTGCAGGGTGGTATTTTGTCATTCAGGAACATCAGATGAAATAGTTCTTGGTAGCTTCACTCTTTGAGGACTTCCCACCCACCCACTGCCCCACCCCACCCCCCCAGTTAGTGATGGGAATAAATTAGCTCATGAAAAAGGAATGCTCTTTGTCCTGCATTTTTTAACAAGTACATCCATTTTGTTTATAAAGAAAAATGGTCCTTTATAATGAGATTCTGCAGAGCAGAGGACACAGGCTGAGTCTGAGGAGAGGAAGAGTCCTCCATCACCTTTTCTATACAATCACTGCACAATAGCACATGTGTGTTGCCTAGTAACCATGGAGCAGTTTCCTTCCAACATCTAAGCCACTCCAGGGTCATTGTAATTTCCCAGTGAATGCAGATCTCACACCTGCTCCTCATTTAACATGTTAATTTGAGTATCCAGTCTGCCTGTGATTTATTGGTCTGTTTATTTGTCATTTTCTGAAACTAAAATTCATATCCAACTGTTTGTTTAATTTGGCATTTAAACAGCCTTTACATCCTTTTTTAGCTGTTTAATCCCTTTCACAGTATGGATTGTAATACATATCAAAGGTACTAGGAAGATCACAGAGTGGCTCAAATACCACTTTTGCTGCTGAAGACTTGTAGCTTATATCCTCCCAGAGTGGTATTTCCTGCTTTGAACAGGCTCTGTCTTTCTGATGCTCATCGTTGACAACACACGTAGTGTTGTAGTGTGAATGCCTAGACTAGGTAAGGGGGTGGATACAATTGATTTTTCTTATGCTTAGTCTATGACATGCAGGAATAGTAGCTATCTTCTACAATGGAACAGACCGCTGGTCCAGGTAGACCAATACCCTGCTTTGGTTAACAGTAATCATCATCAAGAGAACTTGCATGGAAGTCCTTAGCTGGTCATTTTAGAATAATCTGCCTGCAGGAAATCCATCATCTTCATCATTATTAAATGGTGGCTGATTCTCTATTTTTGCATAAGCTTCTGTTATTGGGGCAGGGAGTGGGAGTCATTTGATTTAGGCTTGGAATTTTCATCTTTGTGTGTTCCAGTTTGTCTGTTAACTCTAAAGAAAAAAATCAATAGTTGAAGGTAGGGTTTTTTCTCATTTATTCCACTACCTTCTTTTTTTTTATATTTTTGGATTTTTTAAACTCTTCTTTTCCTTGTTTTCTCTTCATATTTTTGCACCTGTCATACCCCCTTGACGTCTTAGACTGAGACCAATAGCATGAGATGCCTTCACTTTCCACTACTGGGAATCTTCTTATCCCAGAGAACAATCTCTAATAAGACCCAGACCTGCTAACTGCTGTCTATGTTTTATTGTATGATGCATATTCTGTTTGCTTTAAATCCTGGTCATTTGGCTGCTGGTGAATGTGCTCCTAAAATGCTTAGTCCACTAGTCCACTGCCCCATTGATACCCTGTTAATAACTGTCTGTCTTCTGAGCTTATATCTTGCAAGCAGTTTGAGGACTCTCTTAAGTAGGTGTTGTTACTCCTCCCTGTAACACAAAACCTGTTCAGTATTCTCATTGCAGTGTTCAAGGTGGGGAATGATCTGTGAAGCAATGAGATCTTTATTGTTTATTAAGCAAGTTTTGGCTGTCATATTTCCTTTAAATACAATTACATTTTTCCTGAGTGTGGGCTCTTTTTTTTTTTTTTTTTTTTTTTTTTTCTTTTTTTTTTTTCCCCCTGTTTTCCATTTTTGGAGGGTCAAGTGTCTTGCAATGCAGCCACATATGCCTCCTGTTACACAAATGTGCCACTAGCTGCAAATTAACAAGCCCCCAAAATTAACAGATTTTTGAAGAAGAAAAACATTTTGTCTAATAAAACCTACGTGCTTCACTAATACTGGCAAACGAACACTTTTAAGGAAGAAGGTGCGGTAGATGAGGTAGAACAGCAGAGAGCATTGCTGTACCTACCCTGTTCTGTTGGTATGCTCTTCATGCTCCTATGTAGGCCTATGCCTTCAGACACAAGTGTCTTTGCTAGTCAATAAGAGTTCCCTGCTGTTAGCTTTCAGCAGTTTGTCCTTTTTTTTTCCCCAAGATGAATCAAACCTGGATGCCTTTTTCTGCAGGACTCTGTGTGATATGTTTGATATATTAGGTTGTTATTTAATCCAACTATATATCAAACATATTCCTACAGTGTCCTGCCCTGTCTCCGGGGGTTTTAACATAGTAGAAGGCAATATGAAGGAGTACATTCACTCACAAGCAGGTTTAGAAGACTTCCTGCAGACTCCTAATCTAATCTGATTTAAAACATATACATGAAGGGCTCCTTTATCAGTAGAGTTGCTCTTGGAGGGACTTTTAAGTTGTGTAGGGCCTTTTATGACAGTGAGTAGCAGCTGTGCCAAGAACTGACTTTCACTGAAATGGTTATTGTGTTTTCCATGGCTCAGTGCAGTAACTTACCCATATTGGTTTTCTTTTTATGAAATAGAAGATGAGAGCTGGTTCAAAATAAAATGGTTTGTCTTCTGTATTTTTTTACTACTGTTTAGCAATGAGATTGGAGGCTCATTTGATCTCCTATTAGCCCTGACTTTACTTATGCTACCCCTAATAATGGAGATTCCATAGAAAACTCGTTAAAATACAGCACAAAAACATCTCAAATTATATTTTTTTAATGGCACAATCAACATTTTCAGGATATTTCGTGCTACAGAATTTGTAGCTAGCCTGATAATTTTGGTTTGTCTGTTCTGTTGACTTAATTTTCCAATACCCGTACATAGTCAATAACAGCTTATTAGCTTAAGCTTGTAGAAAAAGAGATGCTGGTCTTCATGGGGGCTACTTGAGGAAGGAGAAGCTAATCACTTGTCTCATAGACCTGGTTTTCTAAAGAAACCCAAGTAGCCCTCTCAAGTAACTAAAATCTTACAAGGTGAAATTTTCTGCCATGTATCACATCATTGCTCCTAACTTTGTGCATGAAGGCTGTGAACCGACACATGTTGTGAGGATGCTGTTAAGTGTGAACTTAA